CATGGCGCGCGCGTGGGATGCCCTGTGTATTCCACCATGGACAACATAACAAACTCCATTTCAACATCAAAGTCCAATCGGTCATCGCTAAGGGATCAGTTCAGTTTCCATGCCAACATGGCGACTTTTCTGTTGTTGACAATACAGAACCCCAACTCGCGCGCGCGCGTGCGCTGGACGCCCTGTGTTGCCAATCGTGGATAACATGCAACCAAAACCAATGTTAACTTCAAAATCTCATAGGTTGGCTTTGTCTTGGGGGTCTGCGCTATTGGGGGGGGTAGTTTAGGGGCTGGCTCACGAGCAATCTTGTATTTCGCTTCCACGGCCTGCCGCACGCAGCGTTTGCAGCAATTGATTTGCATCTTGGCCCAGCTACCACTCATTATATCAGAGGACATTCGCAAATAGCAAACCGCCAATAACCGATGAATGGACGACTGAGGTAGCGGGCTTACGCTCAAAGCAAGCGCACTCACATAACGGCTTGCCAGGGAACTTCGGGGCTGCGCACGCGCGGCAATAGGCGTGCGAATTTCCATGCGTCGTTCGTGCGCCAACTCGTACACCGACCCCCCCCCCATTGCTTTTCACATTGATGTTGCTTCCCATGCGTTGCCCATGCTCCCGGGCGCATCGGGGCACCTAGGGCGCGATCGGAATCGCGCTGGCGCGTCGTCGGGGCGACTTGAGGCGACCCCTGGAGCCGCTTGAGGTCATATCGGCCGTCTTTGGAGACGTCTTGGGCGCATCGGACATCTGCGCGGCCCGAGCCCCCTAGCGACACGAGCAGCTATACTTGTACAAGACCACATGCTGCGACGCAAGCGAAACTCCGACATGTAAGGACTAGATGCAGGCATGCCATCAAACCCAGAACACACGCATGCCCCCGCTGCAAGATACCAACATGCAATGCAAATGCATACTGCGCGAAAGCGAACGCTACGCACATGCACATCCCCCCCCTCTCCCAAGTCAGACAGGATATCCTGGGAGAACGATTCCTCGGCCACGCGCGAACGCAGCGCACGTTCACAAACTACGCAGGTTGCAAGACCTGGCGGTGCCTGTCAGCGCCGCCCAGCTGGCCAACAAAGGAACGGGCTGGTGCAACGCTTGCGCGCGTCATTTTTCAGGAACGCCACTCGCAACCGAGCGGGCTTGTGGGGGCGCGCAACAATACCGTGCAATGAGCTTGCCTGACGCCTTCTGTGCCCTGGTTGACCACAAGCAGTATATCAGAGTTGGGTTTGGAAGCCATACTACGAGGACGATACAAGGCATGGCTTGGCTGGAATGCACTAGGCCTGGGCCTGACCCCAACAAGAGCGCTCGCGCATGGCCAGCATGGAGCAGGCCCCAATCGCGAGCCACGCAGCGACCGAAGGTCTTCACCGTCCACGTCGTGGTTGCTCGGCAAAAAGCGCTGTCGCATTCGCGCCGCCGCGCACATTTGCTCACCTCGCGGGGTAGCGCGCGCAACACGTGACTCCATTTATCTCGGCGTCGGCCGCGCGAAGTGCTGCGAATTGCCATGCGCAGCCCTCCGTCCTCGCGCGGAGCGCGAGCGATTTTTTCTAACTGCAACAACGAAGCTGCTTGCTTGTCTCGGCGCACGCCGAGCGCCTTTTTCTCCTGTATCCAACAACAAGCCAGGGGCTCCTTGAATAGGCGGCAGCCGAACGTTTGTGGCGACGTGCAATCCGCTGCCCTCTCTCGCGAGGAGCGCGAAGCTTGTTCTCGGCGTCAGCCGATTTTTTGGGCGAGCATCACTTGCCAGCGACCCCCCTTCCCTTCGCGCGGCCGAGCGATTCCTGCCAATTGGAACTAGTTGCGCTCTTATCTCGCGCGGAGCGCGAGATGCTCCTACAAGGGTGCCATTTGGCTCGGTGCCAGCCCAGGTATTTTGTGAACTCCAACAACCAAGGGGGCCATGGCGCAAGTCTGGAAAGCGCTGGGCCAACCTAGGCGCAAGGGTCTGCGAGGACCCGGGGCCGGCAAATCGCACGGTTTCCCGCAGGTCGCACCGGGCCCGCAAACCCGACAAGCCACATGGGCCCCACAGGCCCCACAGGTCGCACAAGCCCCACGGGACCTATACGTCGCACAAGCCCCACGGTTCCCACATGTCGCACAAGCCCCACGGGCCCCCACTTATCCCACAAGCCCCGCAGACCGCGGCGCGCGTGGGTCGGGGGCCCAGGCGCGCGCGGCCAGGCACCCGTGGTGCGCGAGGCTCGGGGCCTGCGACGCTCTGAACCGACCGAAGCTCAAGGGGCTCGCGGAGCTCGGGATCGACGAGGCTGCACGGTCTGCGAGGGCACGCCCTCGCTAGGCGCCACCAGTAATGCACGCGGGCGGGCGCGCCACGGCGCCCGCGGCGTGCGCGGGCGGGCGCGGCCGAGCACCCGCGGCCCGCGCGCGCGGGCGCCGCCAGGTACTTGCGGCCTGCGGGCGCGCTCAGCCAGGCGCGCGCGCGCGCAATGCACGGGCGGGCGCGACCAGGCACCCGCGGACCGCGTGGGCGGGCGCAGGCAGGCACCCGCGGCAGAAGCGCCAGGGCGCGCCCGGGCGCGCATAGGCGGTGCTGCGGGTGGCCGCAGCCACCCGTACGGTTCCCACGCGGACCCCCGCGCCCCCCCCCGGTGGCTCGACGCAGCCGCCCGCCCCGCAGGGCGGGCGGTGGGGGGGAACAGCTGTCAGGGCTCCCCCGGACACTCGGAAGTTCTTTCTAAAGTGCGTCCTAGCGCTCGAGCACGGCAAGCGTAGACGCGAAAATGACTTGTGCGTTTTCTCGAAAGTGTGCCCGCGTTCGAAATCGCATTCTGCCTTTGCGGGCATGAGTGTCTCGGCGAGCGAGGTGGACTTTTGTTTTCCGGGCATGAGTGTCTCGGCGAGCGAGGTGGACTTTGTTTTTCTTCGACGTCGCAGTTTCGGAGGAAAAATGAAACGTACGTCGCAGTTTCGGAGGAAAATGAAACGTACGTCGCAGTTTCGAGCCCAAATGGCGACGTCGCAGTTTCGGCCTCAAAAAAAAAGTTGGGCGCGCGAGGTGTCTCGAGTGTCCTGGGGGGCTTTTTTTCCTGTGCGCGGAATGTCCGGCGCCACGAAAATGCATTTTACTCCTATGCGTTGCGCGACGAAGCCCTCTCGAGACTCCGGTGGTTCCCCCGCCCAGGGCGTTCGAACGCGCGCGGACAAACGCGCCCTCTCGTTGGCCGCGACAGGCCGCAGGAGGCCGCACGAGGCCGCGCGCCCGTGCGCGATGCCAACTGCACCGCCGTCCCTCCGCTTCGCGCGCTGCACGCCAGCGGAGCATGCGCGACCCGCAGCGCCTCCTCGGCCGGCGTCAACACGGCATCTCCAGCCAGTTCGCGCGCCCCCTGGCGAACCAGTCGAACCCGCCTTCCACGGGGCCGCCTCGCTCGCGCCGGCCCCGATGCGGGGGCGTGCTTTCGACTGCGCGCGACCGAAGCACAGCTCCTGGACACCGAACCATCACGCCGCCATGGGTCCAGAAAAGAAGCGTGGGAGTGCTCTCGCTCGCGGCGCGCGCGCCTCGCCGTGCCTTCAGGCGCGCCAAGCCGTCTACGCAGTTCGCGCCGTCGTTGCCATTGGCCGCGCGCTCGAGGCCACCCGCGCGGCGCGTGGCATCTTCGGCGCATTTTCCAGGCGATGCGCGACTTGTGCGCGTCGCGGCGACGCCCAGAAGTCGCCGCGCGCGCGCCGCCGCGCGCGCGCGACTGCGCGTCGCGAATTTCGCCGCGCGGTTGGCTTAGGACAACAGCGCGCTAAGTCGAAAATGGGAATTGAACGCGCGCCAAATGCCAATGTCAGCCCCCGGACCCGCGAGGCGAACCCTTGATTTGGGAACCGCGGACCTCGCTGCGCGGTCGACGCCGCGCGCGCGTAGCTCCTCGTGCCGGATTGAAAACGCCTCGCGCCCAGCTGACATCCAGGATCGCAAACCTGGGCGCCGGTTGTGCTTCCAAGCCAAGTTGGCAACTTGACCGCGCCGACAACGCAGCGCCTGCCATGGAAACGCCGCCAAGCGCGTTGCACCGTGCTTCTCTTGGCGAAACTGCGAAAACACACACACACACACTTAAAGTTGCGAGTCGGGGCCGCGCCGGTTAAAGGCGTACTTCGGTTACCAGACAACCGAACTTCTTCATTCCTGCGAGGCAGACCTTGTCATGCACGCGCCGCCGCGCGCGCCCTCTGTGCACTGGGCACCTCGTGTACACGTGGAAACCGCGCTTAAGTTGGCATCGGGAACGGACGACAGTCACTACATGGAACCATTTAGCTTTCAAAGCAATATGGCTCGATGAGTCTGTACGGCTATGTACAGGATGGCCGTGCGAGCCAGTGCACGTGCGAATATCAACAATAGCTTTCTTGCGCGCCAATGCAAAACGCTAGTTATTATGACAGCGTGGCGACTTATGCGTTCCCACCCAGTGAAGACACCGCCGCGCGCGCACCGCCCACGTCCTGCGCGCTCGGTGCATACAAAGGGGGCGCAAAATCGTCATGCTAAATTCTCAAAGATTTTGGGCGCGAGAATGTAAGATTTGAGTTCCCGCGCAAAGGTGGCGACTTCTGCGCTTCCACTGTGCACGAGCCTGCCATGCAGGCGCGCTGATGCGCGCGCGGGCGACGCGCGTCACGCCCGAAAGCCGCGTGGCGACCGCTGAAGGTCTCATCTACTTTCCAATCCACCATGGCCGCGCCCTCATTTCCAAAATTCAGGATCCAACGCGCGAGCGGCCAAGTTCCCAGACAAAGCAAGGACATCAAAAACCTATGCATGTTCCGCCCCTTTCGCTGGCAACAGCCTTCCGAGGCTTCGCGATGGCTCCAAGATGGACCAAGAGAGCCCCTGGTGTCCCCAGAAGGACCCCGGATATCTCCAAGACGGTCCCCCCAAGCGCCCGGGAGCGTCCCAACAGCGCCCCAAGAGGGCCCGGATGGCTTGCGGGGCTCGAGGGGTTGTGGGGGCAGGCTAATTAAAACACCTCCCTCTGGCTGATCGATGTCATTCAAGATGGCCCCAAACGTGCCTCCAAAGCCCCGAAGAGGATACTGATTTTCGCCCGTGACTTGACGGGTGCCGCTTTCTCTCTGTTGTTGAGGGCCATGAACCAAAGCAACTGAGGGCACCGCACAACGCGATCAGACTCGGGAGCAAAACAAACGAAAACAAGGCCAGCCACACAACGCCATCGAAATCATCTTGACAAGCAAGCGCTTGCGCTATGTACATTGAAGACGCGCTCGAACTGGACACAGCAAACCGAACCTCTGGCTGTCTGCCACCAGGGAGGGGTCATCCGACTGATGTTTATTGCCAGCCCTGTGCTAACAACAACGCGTTCAGCTTGCCAAGCACCGTCTACGGATGTTGAAACAACAAAATCTATATTCGGCCCCCTCCAAAGCAGAAAAAAAAACAATGGAAGCGAGAATTTACTGTGCGACGGCATGACTCTTTTCGCCTACAAGTGTCCTAGCCAGTTCGCATATGTTAAAATGAACTGCATAAAATACAAATGCGTGTGCACGTCGACGCCGTGCCAAAGTTGCGATTTGAGCTGCGTGTCCCAAAAAGCGATTGGGACCTTTTGGTAATACCACCCAAAAGTCGCCCCTGCCATTACCCAGGCATGAGGGCCCAATAGACAAGGGCGGACGCAGCCCCCCAGATGAAGCCAACTCATAGGTCACCGCTAAGGGATCACTTCAGTTTCCAGGCCAAGGCGCCCCTGACCACCAATCGGCTGGTGAAGCCGGTCCCTGCAAGTGCCGCGGCGGGCCAATGCCGACCTCAACCTTGGGTTATTTTGATGCGCAATTGCCCCGGCCGGCTAGGCGCGAAACCGAATTCAAAATTCCAGGCGAGGGGGGGAATCAACATAATCGTACCAGGGTGCGTTGCAACGCCCCACGGGGCGGAACAATGAATTAAAATGTCTGGCTTCAGAAATAATCAAAACAAAAGAGACCAGGAAAAAGATGCCGCCACGAAGGCCGCCAACAAATTCATTGGGCAACGATGCCATATGGAGACATGGCCAACATGACATTGAAAACAATCAAGGCAAGAACAGAAAACAATGGAAAGGGCAAGTTTCGAAATCTATGAAGGCCAAAAACAAAACTGCAACCAATATCTAAAATGAGATTTCGCATATGCCAGCGGCGAAATCAAAGAAGATTTCCATTTTGATTTCAGCCCCAGCCCGGGCCGGCCCACTTCATTGATAAAAGCTTCCCGGTATCCTTATTCCCTTCTTCTGGTATTTTTCGAATGCCTGTCCCCCTCCTGCCTCCCGGCTCTTGCCTCGTGGTTCTCCTCCGCCACCCCCTGCTCCCCTCCCGGGCTGTTGCACGACGCCCTGTCAGGTCTGAGCTGGATGCGCGTGCAGGGTCTAGCGAATGGACTCATGCCGACGCCCAACGCCCATATCATACACTCAAGACTCAACTCAAGGATGCAAGACAAAGAAGCAGGCCCTTTGACAATCGATGCGCGCCCCTCGGACCTCCAACATTGCTCGAAGTTCCCGCCCCACGAGCCATGCCGGGCCTCCAACGACGAGATCTCTCCCCGCCCCCCCAACGACAAGATCTCTCCCCGCCCACCCCCACGCTGATTAAGCCGTTCAGAGCATGTGTGCTATCGACGGATCGGGGATCTACTGACCCGGGTCAATCCAAACCTGTGTTTTTCGGGCTTTGCTTGATCCTGCAAGATCATGCAGTCTCCTTCAAGATCCTGTACGCAAGCCCGGGTCAAGGCACCCCTGGCTCTGCAGGATCCTGCAAGATCTGGCACCCTGGCTGACCCCCGTTTGCTGTGACCCCCGTCCCTTGAGCCCCGAGGCTGAACTGCTCGAGCATGTACCGGTCTCCTCGTCGCAGCGTTTCCTCGTCGCTCCGCTGCTCCGCTGCCTCGCTTACTCATCCCGACCACGTGGCCCGCTCGGCCCCCCTTGCACGCTCTTCGATCCTGCCCACCCTCCCTCTTTCCCCCCTCCCCACTCCTCCTAACACTCCTCACCTCTTCCTCTCCTCCTCCTCCCCCTCCCCCTCCTCCTCCTACTCCAACTCCTCACTCCTCCCTCCTGCACTCTCCCCTCCTCCCCCTCCTCCTCCTCTCCTCCTCCTCCTCCCTCCTCTCTTAACTTCCCTCCCTTCCCTCCCCCCCCTCCCTCCCTCGCTCCTCCCTCCCTCCTCCTTCTCTTGCTCTTCCCCCTTTTCCTCACTTCCCCCACCCCCCACGCCCCCATCCCCCTCCTCCTCCTGCCCTTTCTTTTCGCCTCCTCCACCTCCTCCTCCTCCTCCTCCTCCTCGTCCTCCTTCTCGCCTACCGATTCCCGACCTCCCGTCCAGCGGCGGCGGCGACGATCTCGACTGCGGCGGCGACAGCAGCGCTGCCGAACGGCGGGGGGGGGGAGCCTACACTTGCCGGTGCCGTGAAACTGGGAGCCCCTGCGGGGGGGGGAGGCGGGATTGAGGCCCGCGGGCGCCCGAGGAGGAGGAGGAGGAGGAGGAGGAGGAGGAGGAGGAGGAGGAGGTGGCGGAGGAGGGGAAGGTTCGGGAATGTTCGGTTAGAGGACGACGAAAATCCCAAAATCATTTGGCCCATCTGTTGTTTTGCGTCTCGGACCGCCTTCGGTGGGCCCGAATGGTGGGGGGTACTTGCCCGCAGAGATTCTCGCTAAATTCTGCTTCCCCATGGCCGTCGGGGGTCGGTGGTGCAACTAAATCCGCATTTGCTGCAAAAGGTGAGGCAGTACTTGCTCCAATACTGCAACGTGTGCGACGGGTGGAGAGCCTTGCTGCCCACTCTTTGGGGTCCACGAAGAGGCTCGAACTCCCGAACGTGCTTGCACGAGCACGGGGTCACACACGCCTGAAACATCGAATCGATATTAGAGAATTGCGAACACTGCGTGCAATAAGACTTGGCACCCACACGACACCATCGAGGGTCGGAGTCCCTTAAAACACGCGCCAGTTTCGGAAGGGGGGCAGGATCCTTGACACTCGGGCGTTCCACGGACCACGGATCCAACAAAATCGCACATCCCAGGGCCCTACGCGCACGGCGTCGGACCAGGGCGGCTTCCGAATCCCTCATGTCAGTAGGGGGGTCAAAAACGTAAAACTGCTCCACGCTACTTCAGACATCGCGGAGGCCAGCGCATCGGCACATTCATTTCCAAACGCACGGAAGCTGTCTGCCTCCGTTCGGAGTTCCGCCTCCTCTTGGTGGCAGGCGACCAACTCGAGCAGCACGTCCTCGGGCTCTCTGGCTCGGAGTGCGACCGCGACCCTGGCCCAGAGGTCAGCATCAGATCCTCCAAGGCCCTCAGACCCGAACCGCTGACCCCTGGCCCAGGTCGAACGGGAGAAGGAGGTGGTCCGTGATAAGCCTCAGTCGGCCTGGGAGGAACTCCAGGGCAGCGGCGGAGGCAACTACCTCCGCGCGGGGCACCGTCTGCCTCCCCCCCGGGAGCGTGGTCCTGAAGCCCCAGGCCGACTTCCAGAAGCGCCCCTCCGGCGCTATGACAACCACACCAGCTCCGACCCTGCGACGCCGAGGGTCGTCAGAAAAAAAACCTCCCGCCCGACCCGTCTCCGAGCGCGGTAGCGTAACCCTCGGCGCCGCGAGGGATCGAGTCGATGTCTCCAAAGCTGCTGGTCTCTGGGGGTCCCTCCCTAGATGTCGGAGTCGGTTCGTGTCGACCTGGGACCCCGCGGAGCAAAAGCTGGGAGAACTCTCAAAATTCACACGAGCCTGATCAACTAAGAACTCCGACTTCTTGAAATCATCGTGGCCCTCGTTGGCCTCGCAGGCCCAGATTCTGTGAAACAAAGACTCTGGCGCCTTCTGGCACCGAGGGCAGAGAAGATTGGAAACCTCATAGCCTGCCTCACTCAAGCGCTCGCGCGTCCACTGGCCACCGGCTGTGACCACCACGCTGAACTCGCCATCGGCAACTGAGAGGATCGACCACGTTCAGCGCCCATCTTGCCGTCGCTCGGACGTCCATTTCCCCTGCATGTTTCGGCTTCGTGCGTCCAGGATGATCCTCGATGGTTCTCGCCGAGAAAAAATGCACACGTCCGAGCGATGCCAAGCCATTAGTCGCCGATGTCACTGGTGCGGAGCCTCGACATCTCCCTGCAGACATGGTACGTGTCTGCGCCGCAAGACAGGTCAGTGCTGTCGAGGTGGTGAGACGCTGCAGACCACATCTGGGAATCGATCGTGGCCTCCACGTCATCCAATATATCCGTAATATTTCCGTGAAATAGGAGGAGGAGGGGAAGGAGCATGGGGAGAAGCAGGAGGAGGAGGTGGAGGAGGAGGACCAGTGCAAGCCCAAGACTTATCAAAAGTGTTGCAATCAACCCTGCCTCAAAATTCCCTGTTCATCACTCCCGACAACGACTCATTCTCGCTAGCGGAAAAGCCCCGTTGGAAGACAACCATCTGAAAATCCCGAACTGCTGCCAGGACACCCATTCCTGGGACTTCATCGCCGCGAATCAATGCTACTGCTGCGCCCTGGCGATCCCGAATCGTGCCAAATCACCGTTCCCAGGTTTTCAGCACCGCGAAAACGCAACTGCTGCGCGCTGACAGTCATACATCGTGCCAAGACACCATTTTTTGGACGTCAGCCATGGGAATCCTTGGACTTGTTGTAAACTCTTGAAACGAATATGCGCGGCACTACAACGAGAAACACACTGTGAAAACATGCTGCATTCCATCCGTGAGATTCTCGCACACTTTGAATCGAGTGCGCGCGGCGCAAAAGCGTTAACCACATTTTGCATATGACCCGCCATCCACCCGTGAATCCCTTGCGATCTCTTAAAACGAATGTGCGCGGCGCTAAGGTGAGAGACGCACTTTGCAAACGACCCGCCCTCCATCCGTGAAGCTGTTGTAACTTGTCAGCTAAGGGAAATCTCAAGCAAAACGCCGAGCCCCCGACCTACCGACAGGTCTCGGGGTGCGGCAGGAAGGAGGAAGAGCAGGGGAAGGAAGAGCAAGAGTACAGTAGGAGCTCGACCACAAGAAACCTTCCACAAGAGACCCAACCCTGAGACACCAAGACGTCCATTGATGTTTGGTGTCGGAACGTCGCGCTTTCCATAGCAAAACCATCGAAACCCAAGGAACCCAGAGCACCCTGGAGGCAAGCAAGGTGTTTCTTGACATGGGTTTCCACTGTATTCGGGGCGACCGCGAAACAGTATACTTGCTAGCGCTGGTCACAAGCAAGTAGTTCTGCACTATCGATGTGCATTCCGTTGTGCACTTATCAACCAGTCGCAGCAACGTGCGATTGCCAACATGACGGTGAAGCCTGTGAAAAACAACACTTGTGGTGCACAACGTGTGGCACAGTCTACAGGGAGCAACATATGCGGTGCAGTCTCTCCCTCCCCCTCTACATCACAGTGAGGGGGCCGAATGGTCACTCGCTGTCCCTGGATGCGTGGCTCAAATGGGGTTCCGCGATGCAGATTGTTGAAACCGTTGTTGTTGTTGTTGTTGTTGTGGTTGTTGTTGTTTTGGTCGTCAATGTTGTTGTTGATGTTGTTTTTGTTGTTGATGTTGTTGTTGTTGTTGCTATTGTTTTCATTGTCGTCGTCCTCCTCGCGACACGGCCCGAGACCCACCCGCGACCCGCGCGCGACTCATCCGTGACCCAGCCGCGACCCACCCGCGACCCATCCGCGACAGGCCCGCGACCCACCCGCGAACCACCCCGCGCCGGCCCCCTCACTCTTATCCGCAACTGCGGGGTGCTACACACATATATACTTATATCTATATATACACACACTTGTGTATGTATGTATACACATCTACATATGTACACACGTAACCACACACATACCAACTCATACTTCCTCTTAAGGAGGTTCACCTGTGCCCCCAAAGAATCGCACGGGTCCGCCAGGGTTCCGCTACGCGGCCGCCCAGGTGGCCCCGGATGGGCGCCTCGTGGGCGGCGCCCCGTGCGCCGGGTGGGCCCACCGAGGCTTCGCCACGCCGCCGCTGCCCGTGGGCGCCGCCCGTGGGCGCCTCGTGGGCGGCACGCGCGCTGCGGTGGGCTCGCCGAGGTGTCGCCACGCCGCCGCCCAGCAGGCGCCCCGGGGGCGCCGCCCCGTGCGCTGCGAGGGTCCGCGGAGGTCGCGCCACGCGGCCGCCTCGTGGGCGCCCCGTGCGCCGAGCTCACACCACGCGGCTTGCACGTTACAGCCCACACCGTATAGCTCACAGCGCACAGCCTATACTGCCCATATCACACCACCTAGTTACACCCGCATGGCTTTCGCCTTCAGCTCACACCACTTTCACTACACGACATAGCGCCCACCACATATAGGGGGATGCTGGAAACACTAAGGCCTGGACTCACTGCCTATATAGTGGCTGGAGGGGAGAAAACCGTGCTTGCGCGGGGCTGTACACAAATCACACGAAGGGAGCCCATGCCCGAACCACAGAAACAAAACATGGTAGCCCCCCGAAGTCCCCAATCGGTCCAGCCACGTCTGCTACAGAGGAAACGCCGCAACGCCAACCGCAACTCGCGGGGCCCTGGGAATGAAACACGAGCGCATGGTTTCTCAGAGGGTGTACACTGCCCTTTTTCAAGTTCGGCGCGGCCCGACGAAATAAGTACTGCTGGAAGCCCAAGCCATGCAACTTAAATGGGGGCCCTGCCCGCATGTGTTTTCAGCCTCCCCGTATTACAGCGCACAGCTCACCTCTATGGGTCACACCAAACAGATTACATGACATAGCTCACACCGCATTGCGTTCACTTCCACATTGCAATAACTCACTAACATTCATATCAATATCCCCCACCGCGCCTCTGGGCACGGAGTGGGCGTGTTCTCAGGTCCTTTGCTGCCTAATCCCTGGAGCCTCAATTCTCAGTCCTGAGGAGTCTTTAAGGAGCCCAGACCCAACTTCTTAAATCTACCAGGGTTTCCCGCGTGCCCCCCGGGCTCTAGAACGTGTTCCCGCATGAACCCCTCTCGGACCCAAGAGGGCCCCAAGACGGGCCAAGAGGGCCTTAAGAGGCCCCCAAGACGGTCCAAGAGGGCCCCGAGTCGCCGAACGTGCTCCGAGACGCTGAAGATGGCCCACGGCCCAACTAAGAGGCCTCCAAAGAGGGCCCCAAGATGTCAAAATCATTGATTATATTTTGGTAGTTGAAGGTTTTCGGCTTTCTCGCCTTTTTGTCTTCCCGACGCTCTCAGCTGGCCCTAGAGGCCCCCCAAACCGCCCCAAGAGGGCTCCAAGACGGCCCAAGAGGCGCCCAAGACGGCCCCAAAGGGCCCCAAGACGGCTCCAAAGGGGCCCAGGAGAGGGAGCGCAAACTGAAAATCCCAGGCTTCCGCCCTAAGAACCCCCCAGGAGGCCCCAAGAGGCGCCAAGGAGGTCCCAA